ATATATGTAAAATGCTGCATTAATTGACAACACTATATGAGTACCTGTAATAAATAAAATAACTAAATCCACATCACTTGTGAATGATGTTCATGGCCAATTCATCATAAGTCCATTGGATATTGTTATTTGTCTGCATTATCAACAATCTCTTACCTGTGGACTAGCATTTTTTGTGGATGGTCTCACATTGTGATTTCATGTGTGCTAGTGCCATGGATCTATACAAACTCTTTTCTAGTATTTTATTTAGGAATTTTTCTATTATAGGAATTATTATTAATATTTCATTGACCATTTTTTGAACTTGCAAGCACTATTTTATATTGGTCTCACAATTTACTGCTGATATGTACTTACCTTGTTGGCTGACAAAAACTCCACTTGTACCATATCAGCATCATTGTTGTCACTTAGATATACTAGTACTTGCTGGTATCACTTGTACCATATTGACATTATTTATTATAGGCATTTAAATAGCAGCCACAATTTACACAGCATTTTACATACTGCATGTTTACATCAGTACCTGCCACCATGGAGCTTATAATCTACAGTTCTTACCTCGCATACACATATTAGGGCCAATATTAACAGGAGCCATTGAATTTACCAACATGTCATAGTGTTGGAGGAAACCAAAGTACCCTGAGGAGATCCACACAAACACAGGGAGAACTTGCAAACTCTATGCAGATAATATCCTGCCCTGGATTCAAAATAAGGACCCAGATGTTGTGAGGCAGAGGTGTTAACCACTAAACCACTGTGCTGCTTTACTGATGTCTGTTTTCCAGTCATTTTTGATATAGCAGCACCTGCTGACATACCCTGAGGGTTCTTTAAAAAGTTGCACACTTTTTTAAACATATATACTATATGTATAAAAGTGTGGAAACTCAAACTTGTTTTTCATTTTGTAGGTTATCTAGGAGATTTGATCATTTCATTATCATCAATACTATGCTGATAGCTTCCCAAAATATTATGCTACATGAACTGTCTGAAAGTAGAAATATTACTGTGAACTTAGCAGAATGTTAAATAATAATGGCAATTTGTGGATTTAAATATTGATACCTTTATTATGTAAAATTTTTGAGCGCTGTTGTAGATATTGCTTGGGCCCCAGGATATATTTTAAGTGATATTAAAGCTTCCGGATTTTCTCTTATTAAAATAACAAACATGTCATACTTACCTGTTGTGTGCAATGGTTTTGCACAGAGCAGCCCCTTGGTCCCCCGGTGGCACTCCTGGATCCTCCCCCCACCAAAGAAGCCACTTTCTATGGTGGCCACTTGTGCAGGCTCACTCCTGAGCCTAAATCTGGAGAATGAAAAATCTGGTGCATCTCTGCATAGAAACCAATCCATCTTCCAGTTTTTTTTTTGTCAAAGATTAATTAAGCAAGCTGAAGTTGGAAGCTGATTGACTACCATGCACAGCTGCACCAGATTTTGCACTCTTCAGTTGTAGTAAATCAATCAAAGTGTGTGTATTTTAGAAGTTTTGGGTAAATATACTGATTCACAGAATTTAACACTATTGAAATTTCACATTTCCCTCATTTGCCTTTGTACTTTTAGATGGGGCATGACCTTTATACAACCACATCCCTAACCTTCAGTCTTCATAATGGTTGCAATGCATGACAGCTGGGTGAAAATTTCATATTCAACCACTGGTCTACATTTCGATCATGTATAACCTAGAGAAACAGTGGGCAATAATAATATGAGCAATCCTCAGACACAAATGGAGGATTTTGGCAACAGCCTTTCTCAAAGCTTTGAAAAAGGCTATGGCTGAAACGCATCAGTTTTTATGGATTCCATATTTTCCACTGTGTGCCAATAAAGTCATTATGATGAGGAAATGAGTTGCCAGCTACTTTGTCATACATCTTGGATTTAAAAACCAGCCTGAGCACCAGCACCCCACTCACATCTTTCTGGTGAGCAGTAGAGCTTGGGTGACTTATTTTCTAGGTCCATCACACAATGTATTTAACTGTGCCTATGGAAGATGCTATTTTAATATATTATTTATGAAAAACTCTAATAAGCTGTGATGATTCAAGCTAACACTTCAGTGACTAGTATCTACAGTACATTCCCAGTAACTTGAAACACTAATGAGGGGTATACACAATAAGTTTTTTTTCATTCAGCCCGGTGATGCAGGTGGACTGTCCCCCCTGCCAGGACACACTGATTATCGCTTGCAGCCAATGGCTGCGAGTGCTGATTAGATACTGGTTTGCTGTTGATTTCCATGTCCATTCAACAGGAGCCGGACATTAGGTCAGTTTCTGTCGGACAGTCTACTGTGCACACTGGCTGAATGTCGGCTGGTTTCTGTTGAACTGGTCAATATTCAGTCAGTGTATACCAGCACTTAAAATGAATTTATGTGACTCTGTTCTTGAGCATTTTTTCTGCAACAGTTACAAAAAGTATAGGCCAACAAAAGGTGTATTGTACCTTATCACTGACATTATGTCTTATAAATGTATGGCTTTGCTGTGCTGAATTCACGAGAAAGAAAAAATTAAATTGTGTTCTTTTTGTTTGCTTTAGCTGTTTACTTTACTTTATTTCTTAGATAAATAAAGATTAACGAGCCACGTAAGAAAGTCTACAGTGTTCACAATTACTTTTGTTGGCTTTTAGGAAGACCTACAGGAAAGTGATTTAGTGCCTGTTTGATATCATGTATTTTACTATTTTAATATGATGTGCTGGCATTTCATAAAGAAAAAGAGTTCTGCTATGTGGGCAATTCTGCAACAGTACTCGTGCAGAATCAAAAACTGCCTTTGTGCTATGGCTAGGGATGAGGGAAGTGATTAAGGAAAAAGCGATTTGCAGCAAAATGATTGATCTCAATGAAGTGGAAAGTTAATTTTACACATTGAGCTGCTGAGGCAAAATTTGCTTTAAAAACTATTTTTGTTTAGAGAGGTTTTTTTTTTTTTGGAAGGGGTGTATTTTGGGTAGACTAGTTGTTTTAATTCAGCTTAGTTTGTATTTAAAAAAAAGATCTAGGAACACAGAATAAAAATAGGCTGAAATGATATCTTTTTGTATAATTTTAAAACCAGAAGATTACACAAAAGACAAACATCCCTCTCTGAGGCCTCAGTAATATTGAAAAATATATTTAAATCGTATGAACAATGTAAGTATACCAGCAAAAATTTACAAACTGCCAGCACCTCAGCTATTCTAAAGTTTACAGAAGCAGTTAGGTGAAACATGCTAGAACTTGTGTGGTTCACATGAGGTGCGCAACCTGCCTTAATCCCTCAGCTTTGTGGAAATTCTATCTGGATACTGCTAGTCATTGTTTTGATCCATACTTTACCATGCAGGCTACATATGGGTGAGATCGACATTTGTATCAAATATTTTTTATTGAAAATGTTTTAAATTCACGTCTACACACATATATTCCATACATACAAATAACATAACATAACATGCCATCCTTCCCATGCATAAATTGGTGTATCACTCTCTTAACAATAATATTTACAAAAAAAATTTCAAATATAAACATAATGTGCATGCATTTCTTATTTCCACATTTTAAAATGATTCTAACACTCTATTCACCACCCTCTCATTAGAGGTCAGTCCCATAGTATGCACCCACAGTCCCCATATTTTCTCAAATTTCCTAAGACACCTCCTTTTCGCGTTAGACAAACTTTTTACTTTTTACAGTATTTGTTTACTACTTTAACCCATTCTATACTTGTTGGAGGGTCCCATGTCAACCATATCGGAGCAATAAGCTTCTGAGCCTGAAGTAGACACCTAATCACCAAGATTTGTATATAATATGACAAGATCCCTCTATCCATATAGCCCAACATACAGTACATAACTTGGGATCCAGTCCCAGGACACCCCAAACACAGAAGTTATGCTATCAAGAATATCTAACCAATACCTATTCAGTTTGGAGTATCTCCAGACTATATGGATGAGGACACCAGTCGGACCCCCACATTGTGGGCATATGGATATGTTAAGTTCTATGTAATACAAATGAATGTGAAATCCTCTGTGAGGGGGACATGGAAACCAATGGTACTGCTTCCAATATATATTTCCACTCCTCTTCTATAATGCTCCCCATGTTCTCCACCCATTTACTTCCACATAGGAGATCTTATATAACCTTATATAACAAGGGTATCCTATTTCACTCTAATACCTTTCCTTTAAACTGCTCCCTCAGAGCATACCTAACCTGCAGCTGCAGAAAGATTGATGGCATGTTGGATGGCAAACTCCTCTTTTAATTCTTGAAATGTTCTTACTGAATTAGAATAATACAACTGGCACAGATGTACTGTCCAACTCTCTTCCTATTCCTTAATTCTTCCTTTACTAAACAGCTCCTGCTATTATCCCAAATTGGGGAGTATTCCGTAAATCCCCAATAACCCATTAGTGCCTTAACTACCGGTCACAATATTAGTAACATTGACAGTGTAGGACACTTCAAAATGAAAGCCTCCACCACCGTATTGTGCCCAGTACAGGTGATCACCATACCTCTACATGCATCCACTATTCCTTAAGTGCTGTAGCTGTGAAGTCAAAAAATAACTCCAGGGGTGAGGCAAAGCTAATCTCCCCATATATTTAGGCAATTGTGACGTACAAAAGCATAAAATAGTATTCAATCTCTGAAACCACTGTTTAGGGATCTATATAGGGAAGTTATGTAATACATACAAAATGGTAACCAGATCATCTCAACCAGGTCCCTACCACGCTATAGCTGAAGGATGGCTACAGTGTGGTTGTCTGGTTCTGGGACGATGTCCATGGATGTCTTTCCAGAACACCCCCCCTGCGCACCCCTGGCGCTGCCGGTGATCGATGTGTCCTACAAACACTGATGATCATGGGATATGGTAAACGGCCAATCATGGCGACCTTTTACCACGTGATAAGCTGTGTCCAATGACACAGCAGATCACCGGGTAAATACATTTGCCAATTGCTGTCACAGACTGAGGAAAGTACTGTCGATAACCGGCATTTGTCAGAGAAGTGATCAGCACTGATCCTCAGTGCCCTGATGATCAGTGCCCAGAAGTGCTGCCCACCTGTGCCACCCACCTGTGCCCAGGAGTGCCGCCCATCTGTACCCATCAGTGCCACCCACCTGTACAAGGCAGTGTCACCCACCTATGCCCATCAGTGCCATCCACCTGTTCCCCTCAGTGCCACTCACCTGTGCCCAGCAGTGCCACCCATCAGTGCTGCCCAGCAGTGCCACCCTTAAGTGTTGCCCATCAGTGCTGCCTATCAGTGCAGCATCATCAGTGCCACATCATCATTGCCCATCAGTGCTGCCTATCAGTGCCCATCAGTGCTGCCTACCAGTGCAGCCTCATCAACGCACATCAGTGAAGGAGAAAAATTACCTGTTTGCAATATTTTATAATAGAAACAAAGAAAACCTTTTTTTTTAATTTTTTGCTCTTTTTTTGTTTATAGTGCAAAAAATAAAACACCGAGCGGTGATTACATACCACCAAAAGTAAGCTTTATTTGTGTAAAACAATTTATAAAAATTGCATATGGGTACAGTGTCGCATGACTGCGCAATTGTCATTCAAAGTGCGACAGTGCTGAAAGTTGAAACTGGCCTGGGCAGAAAGGGAGTATAAGTGCCCAATAGGCAAGTGGTTAATTAGGTTGCATCTTCTACAGATAATGTAAGTTGGCGCCACACCCCACTTTTTCTTTTTAAAACTAGCTATTAATGGGGCTATATTATCAATAACATAATGTTTAGGATCTCCTGTTATATATACCTCTAAATACTTAATTTTATTAGCTATCTCCATCTAAGGAAGCCTGGCCAGTAATGGTTCATTAAATGAATGCATGGGTAACAATATTGATTTATCCCAAATAATGGTCAGGCCAGAGAACCGCCTGAAGTCACCAATTATATCCATTACATTAATCAACGAGGACTGATTGTCCCCCCAAGAATAGCAGGACATCCTCTGCATATAAAATGCATACATATTTCTCCTCCGCATATGTTCTTGGAACCCCCAAACATCTGGCAATAATCTAATGGCTATTGCCAATGGTTTCATTGCTAGGACAAAGAGAAGGGGTGACAAAAGGTACTGAGATCTACTTTACACCAGCATTTCTTTGCTCAAATTTGGAGTTGGTTATGCTGGTCCTGATTGTCCACACTGTGTGCTACAGCAACTGGATGGACCTTCTTACTATAGACTTACACTCTGGATTTTAGCAGGCTAACACGTGTTTGTTTACCCTAACATTTTTCTGCACTGTGGTGTTACAACAGTTAAAACATTTGCCTATAAAAGAGTTAAAATGAGTGTAAACTCTCATCTTGTAAAACAATCCATTTCGTCTAACCACTTGCCACCCCACCACAATACATTTATTGTGGCATGGCAGCATGTGCAGGCTCAGTCACGTATATATATATTCCTGTGACGGCTGTGCCCACCTGACACAGCGGATCATTGTTACTGATATGCTTGGTCATAGAGATCACATAATACAAATGTAAGCAAAATGTGGTTCCATTCATGAACAGATTGCTTACTGTTCTGATCTGTGATTGGCCCACAGCAATCACATGGTACCTGGCTACCTTTACCATGTGATTAGCTTAGTCAATCACAGATCACATCCAAAAGCAAGCTGTTCATGAATGGGAGACTCATTCATGACAGCTACGGCTACTGCTTATACAGTGATCTTCACTCTATAAGCAAAAACAATGTAAAAAAAAAACCCTGATCACCCTCCAGAGTAGTACAATGTCACTATGGTAACACTAATGAAAGGGTGTAAAAAAAAAAGTAACAAAAAAAAAAAAAATATTTAAAAACTTGAATGTTAAATTATTCACATTTTTTTGTACATGCTGTCATCAGTCAAAATGCCAGATCATCCCTGCATCAGTCATATAAAGATGTACTATGATGATGTACTGCACAAAAAAAATTGTGAAAAAAAATTTGGTAGACACTATGACTTTCACACAAACTAATTATTATGCATTTATTAGGATTTTTCTTTTACCAAGGACATGTCGCAGAATACATTTTGGCCTAAATTTATAATGAAATTTGATTTTATTTGATATTTTTTATAACAGAATGTAGAAAATATCATGTAAAAAAATATTCAGACTTTTTTCATTTATATCATAAAAAATCCAGTAGTGATCAAATACCACCAAAAGAAAGCTCTATTTGTGTGAAAAAAAATGATAAAAATGGAATTTGCGTACAGTGTTGCATGACCACGCAATTTCCAGTGAAAGTAGCTGAATAGCGTAAAATGACCTGTTCATGAAGGGGGTAAAGCCTTCCAGAGCTCAAGTGTTTAAAATAGAAACGAAAGGCAAAACATTTGTGTATAGTTATTAAAATATTATAAATACCTATTTTTCCCTTTTTTTATAAGTGGTCACATTCTCTCTGTTTGCTGTTGCTGAACGTTTCCCCAGGGAAAGGCTGTCCGGAGGGGAGTGGGGTGTCAGCAGAAGTCTGATCATTAATGAAGAGCAAGCTGAGTTCCCAGCACAGTTAGAGAACTGACCATGGTGTGTTCTTACGCATAGTGTGGTCAGTTTTTAATAGGAAAGCAGAGAGAGTGGCAGGAACACCAGGGATTTCATACAAAGAAGCAATACAAAGAGAACAGGATACTTGTACATACAAGTACAAAGTACAGCAGGCACATATCAGAAATATGAAATGTTGGGGTAACATTCTTTATGACACTGGAGATTGGTGCTCACACAGTTGGTGCAACTTGGGAACTTTCACAAACAAAGTCACAAGCATTAGATAATATTAATGTTTTTTGTACGGCATATACTGCACAATTGCCACTGATGGTGATATATTCTTTCTCACTTCATCAAATTGTGACATTTGTGACATGATTTATGTTGTACACATTGATTGCTTTGGATGTTTCTACCTATTAATGGATAAATTCCTATTCATCCTATATACCTAGGTATTTCCACAAGCAGTGTTGTGATGTTTTGATATCACCTATCACACTTGCTATAGGAACGTGTGCTTCATTTACTACAGTGCCAGTTTCTTGTGATTTTCAGGTTCTGTGGTCCCCTAGGACCAGGTATGATCCAGGTCATCATATGGACATAATTTATATACACTGCTCATAAAAATTAAAGTATAGCATCAAGTCAAATAAACTCCTGGGATATTGATCTGGTCACATAAGTAGCAGAGGGGGTTGTTAATCAGTTTCAGCTGCTTTGGTGTTAATGAAATTAACAACAGGTGCACTAGATGGGCAACAATGAGACAACCCCCAAAACAGGAATGGTTTTACAGGTAGAGGCCACTGACATTTTTTCCCTACTCATCTTTTCTGACTGTATATACTCCGTGATCTTCTGTGTCATTGGACACAGCTGATCATGTGGTAAAAGGCCACTGTGATTGGCCTTTTACCTCATCAGGTGATCAGCTGTGTCTGTAGGACACAGCGATCACAGAGATTGCCAGGTGCACACCGCAGGGGGCACGCAGGAGGGCGCGTTCTGGGAGGAAGTTGTATGACGCCCTCCCAGAACTGGGTAACCGCGCTGTAGCCATCATTCGGCTACAGCGCAGTTAGCAAGTGGTTAAATAACTCCACTTAGTGTTACATTTGTTTTTGGCTGTGGATGTGGTGATCACAGAATGTGCTAGTTTCCTTCATATATATATCGTGTGTATATGTATATGGACTCCATTCACATTTTGAAGATTTTTATGACCTCTTGCTGTACAATGCTAGTTTACAGAGCTGAATAGTTCAAGCTTAAATAGAACAGAATGGAATGGGTCACAGCAGAGATGCATCTACCCCTTTCCTCCTCCCTTCATTTAGCCCTGTCAAGTTTTTCAACTGAGATTGCATGTCTAAAAGTCTCTACCCTCTTAGTAAATATACCCCAGTACGTTGGAAAGAAAATTGGCCTCTGCTATGCTCTCTTTTCAGAAAATCTATAGTTCTCTTGTATATTTGAGAACAAAGGACGTCCGTTCAGCTGCACTCCAAACACGCCACTTTATTGAACTAAGATAAAACTAATACAGATAGTGGAAATACAATGGGAGACTGGCAGGTAAACGCATTTCACGCTAAAGACAGCGCTTATTCATTACCCATTCATTTTGCATGTATATGTATATTTGCAATATAAAGATTATATATAAACAGAAAAAAAAATCATAAAACCACAAACTCTATTTGCGTGGGTATGAGCAAAAAACTCAACAGACTCTACCAAGGGTTGTATGCCTGGAATGCTTGGCAGCAAAACTTTTTTTTTTCTGGGGGGAGGGGGGGGGGGGTTTAAGGGAATAAAAATGCAAAAAAATTTAACTCCACAAAACAGAAGGATTGGAACCAAAATGTAATACCTCCATGTTAGCTTGGTTGCATTCTTCTAAGTCTATAAACCTTTCCTACCTACAATCTGTATATTAACATTTCACAGCATGATGCCCTCGAAAATTCCAGACCTGAACCAATCAGAGCTGTCCCTCATCAGGTGAACTTTATTGCAAATAAGAACAAAGGAAGCTCACCAACCTTGCGCATTACCTCAGCAATACAAAGATTTTATTCAAATAAGATGTGTACTCACAAACGTAGCAATATTAAAAGCATATAGTATCCAAGAGTAGATCACAGGAGATCAAGTAGCGTGCAAATCTCACAGACAGGGAGACTCTTGTGAAAGGCTGACGCTTTTCGAAGGCATCTCGCTTCGAAACGCATCAGCCAGTTGGCTCTGAGGAAGAAGGGATCTCCCTTCGAAATGTGTCAGCCTTTCATGAGAGTCTCCCTGTCTGTGAGATTCACACACTACTTGATCTCCTGTGATCTACTCTTGGATACTATACTCTTTTTATATTGCTACGTTTGTGAGTACACATCTTATTTTAATAAAATCTTTGTACTGCTGAGGTAATGCGCAAGGTTGGTGCGCTTCCTTTGTTCTTATTTGCAGTGTTGTTCAGGCTTCCCCAGCCTTACCTAAGGGCTGCACAACCTTTGATCGCTTGGTGGACGTGGTTTACGGAGGTTGATTTATCAACCTGTTCCGGATCTAGGTCTCTGAGCGCTGGAGATGTCGTCTTGATTTTCTTACCAGGTGAACTTTATGCAGCTATGACAATGCTACAAAATGCTTTCAACTCGCATGGGCCACTGCAGACTGTAGAGGGGATTGTACC